ACAAAAAAAATCTCGTGTTGTGGGGGGAGTGCCTGTGTTATGAAATTTGTCCAAACGATCTTCTAACTATATGCTGACTGAGCCCTTTATGACAGAGTCATTTAGTTTCCCAGACCGGAAAAAACCAGATGTTTTCAGTCCAGTGGAGCTGTTGATGCCAGGCTCGTTCCTATCAACATGTGCAGTGGCACATGGCAACAGCCAGCTAATGCTGAGCTTCCCAACTGCGAGCCCAGCAGCAGGGTCAGCACAGTGCTGCCGGAGCCACGTCCAACCCCGTGTCCCTGCTGGGATCCCTGCACTGTGCTGTAAGGGGGGATCACCTCCCTGGGAGCCGGGTCTGGTCCCAGTGCTGCTCTCTGTGTGTGCTGTGCCCTCACTCCAGCCAAGGTGCCACCCCAGCAGGGCAGGGCACCTTCCCAGGGCAGTGACATGGGGTGAGCTGCCAGCCCCGTGCCTGATCCTGAGGGCAAACACCGAGCCTGCCTCGGGGCTCTCCCTTATTTTATTAAGTTAGGCTCAAGCTTTGAAGGCTGGACAGATGTGTAAAGGGACCTTCTAACTAAATGATTGCTCTCTTTTGTTTGTTCTCTGGACTGAGGCCCTGTGGTGTGTGCTTTCTCTTCCACTTTCACCACATACAGAAGGTGTAGGTAAGTGTTGGGATGTCAGCTTGTTACAGCTGAATGAGGGTGGTTTGTGAGGTGCTAAGGGAAATGGCATGCTTGGAGTTACTCCAGAGGAAGAGATCAAATGAATAATCTTCTGGCTGAATGAATGCCTGCTGTTTATTGAGGAGCTCAGAGCAAACCAACAGTGCCAGTACACACTGTGTAGCATGAACTGGAACGAGAGCCCAAAGGAGCTGTCGGGGCAGCTCTGGTTTGTGCAGAAAGTGTGGAGTGTTTGCATGTCACAGAACCCTGTCTGTAGACCTGCTGCCCAGCCCCTGCCCTCCCTCCCCAGTCTGGGGGGGAACTGAAAGCAGAAGGAAGGAATAGGAGCAGAGTCTTTTCATAACCTTCCCAAACAGAGCAGCTCCTGCTGTTCCTTGCAGTCTGGAAGCACCATGTACTGCAGACCTGCAAGCTCCTTGGAGGGGCGGCTTGGCCGGGCTCTCCTCAGAGTTTGTACTGGATTAGTCCTCTTTTAGTAGCTTTGTACTGGATTAGTCCTCCTCTAAAGGCTTTTTTCTAGCTACCCTTACTTGTCCTGTAGTCCTGTAGTCCAAGGTTTGCAGTACTGAAATGTTCAGGATTCGACCAATGATCGTGTTGGGTTTATGAAGAGATTGTTATAATTGTTCATGAGATCACTTTTCTCTGTTATGGCCCATCTAAACTTCTCTCCAGGAAGTATGACTTACACTTACGAATAATGAGAGTCTTTAGTGACATGATTACATGCTCATTTTTCCTCAAACAACATTCTGCCTAATTTCAACATACAGGATGATCCCACAAGGGAATAGAATTATGTCTGCATGAGCAAGTTCAAATCTGCCATTTCCTAATTTGTGAATGCCTGACTCTTTTTTCCAATCTAAATACCTTTCCTGCAATGGAGGGTTTTTCCCTTTTTTTAAATGTGATATATTTGAAAACTTTATTGTTTTTAAATAAAAAAGATGTAAAAAATGTTCCTTTTAACTTGAAATAAAAAGCCCCATCTCTGGTGCCTCTTTCCTTTTGGACATGCATGGGCATGTTAAAGTTTAAGGAAGTTAATTTGTTGTTTGTTTTTTGTGTGGCATTCTGCATCCATAATTTTTTGACAAATCTAAATGTGGGGTTTTTTTAAAACAAATGAAGGAGATGTTCCTTATCCACCTATACAGAGCCATATAAAAAAATACTCTATCAAACTCTTGTGTCAAATAAGGCATTAGGGAGGGGCAGTTTAATAAAAATAATTACTTTTTTAATATAATAACCTGTGATTTTTCCCATTGGGGAAAAAATCAACAGTTTTTTCAACCTGAAGCAAAGCAAGGAAGTGTAGGGAGCACTCCTGCAGATTTTCAGGGTTTCCCCTTCAGAAGTACAAGTTGCTGGATTCCTGAAGGAAGCAGTTTTGGCATACCTGACCAGTAAAACTTTCTAAATGCAGATGAATGGAGCTGGTTAAAACTCTCAGGAAAAAAAAACAGCTGTTGTGATCCCAGGGAACCTAATTTCAGTTCTTGGAGAAATGTGACTTGCAGTAATAGAGATGAGTGATCACATCAGGTTCATGCTGATCCTCAGGATGATATCCATGGTGTTAATCACAAAAAAAAAGAAATTTGGCTGGGCTAATTCACAAGAGCTAAACGTAGTTACCCCTAAATTACACTTCCCTTTTCTCTTTGAAAGCTTTTGGGGTAGTCTAGGTGTTTCCTCTACTCCTATTTCAGATTATTCCCTTTCTTCCCGTTTTTCTGAATAGTTCCCAGACCTTCTTAGGATTGCCCAGTTGGCACCTGAATAGCCACCATTTGCATTTGAGCTTTAGATTGTACAAGGCTTCTAATTTGTAGACTGAAATAAGGACTCAGCTTGTTCACACAGAGGAAGCAAAATTCCATTTCCTGATCTGGACTAGATGCAGAGTAAAAAGCTCCAGTGTGACACAGAAAGAGGAAACCCCCTCACAGATTTGCACCCCTTCCTCAGTCTCTTCAGTGTTTTCAGGTTGGGTATTTGCTCCAGCTGAATGTTGCCAATGGCCAGGGCTCTGCAGTCAGCTTTGATTTGACTGTTTCTAATCTAAAGGGTTTCTCTGTGCTGTTGTCTCCATGCACAATGCCCTGCCCTACACTTTCAGTTCTGCTGACATAACTATTTTTGGAGCTGTACTATGACCTGTATCAGCGAAGCCATCCTGCTTTTTTTTTTTTTTTTTAATTTTAAAAAAGTTCAGGAAAAGATAGTTTTGTTGTTTTTGAGTGAAATGCCAAATGAGATTCCTGGTCCCACAGTAACAGCCTGTGGGCAGAGGAAGGAGCTGAAGCTGGGCAAGGGCACCTAAACCCCACATTGCAGCCAACAATGGGGTCTCCTCAAGTGTGGCCTGTGGCATTTCCTTTGAATGCAAACCTGTCCATGTGTCTTAAGCTGCTGTTGGGGGACTGTGTGGCAGAATCTTTAGTTAGAAGAACATGTCAGAATTTGATTGTATAGCTACCTCATAAGGGCACGAACTCAGGTGTTTCAGATAACATCTGAATTTTGTGCAGGAGCTTACAGCTTTGTGATAATACCCCTCAGAACGTGAGCAAGGACAGCAAACAGCTCTGAATCACATTGTCTTGACTTCAGCTCAGCTGAACACAGGGTATGAGTTAGTAGGGACTTTGGTGCAAAAGGCTTAAATTAAACCATCTTCCTACTCCCCACCCCCAATTGGGCCCACTACACTGTGACACATATTTTGTAAGACTGTGCTTAAATCGGTGCTAAAAGCTGTGGTTTTCATGCACAAGTGGAGTATAGATTTTTTTTAAGTTTGCTCTTGGAGTTTTGTTTTGGTCCCAGGTTTTTTTTCTTTCAGCTTAGAGTGCGTGGACACCACGTGCTGTGCTTCAGCCTATGCCTTCCAAACTCTGTCCTGTGCTTTGTGTTGTTTCAGCTGGACTTTATCTCCTATTAGCAAGCTCCAGCCAGGGTGTGGTGGCTGACAATAGGAGGTTGCTGTAAACATTAACGAATTAACTGAGGCGGGATGTGTGCTGGGCAAGGACAGCAGCGGGAACCTTTGCTCAGTGCAGTGACCCCACTGCCCAGCCCAGGAGCTGAAGCAGGTGCCCCTGCAGAGGAGGGGGGGAAGAAAGCAGAATCAACCCACAGGTTGAGGAGCACTGGCATGTGCAGTACCTGTGCAGAGAACAGGAAAGCTGAAGGGCTTGGAAGGCAAGCCCAGCACTTTTAAACCCTGGGAAGATCTTGCCTCAGAAAGAGCTCAGTGAACGGGTACGACTTCCTTCGCCTGCTGCAGAGGGGTGAAGAGCTGAGTCAGCTCGGCTGAGATTTGTACTGTGATCCCACACATTTTAAGCTGGGCTACTTGTGTACAAACTTACATGCTTCCCATCAGGTTGCACTGTGCTTTTGGTACATACAAATGTGTCAGTCATTTAGTCCAGTGAATGTTTTGGGTTGTTATACCACTAAAAGCTTGCAGTAGAAACTCATGGGACAATTCTTTCCTGTCTGTTATATCTCCTTTTTAAACTATTTCTGTTAAACTTTGGAAACTGTGCTCTCCTGCAGCCATCTGACCTTGAAAACGCACTATAGAACAAGCAGATTGGGCAGTACCCATACTCACACTGAGTGGCAGCTCAGCATGTACTGGGTGCTGCCTGGTCTCAATTCTATAAAGTGAGGGGAAAAAAGCCAAAAACCCTGGACCTGTTAACTAATTCTGTCAGACCAGACTATAAGAGACAAGGCTTTTTTGTCTACTGAATAAATTGAGTGTGTCAGGTGGGGAAGGGGCTGCATGGAAAAATTTTCACTCAGGTTATAGATGGAATACCCAAAAGTTGCCCTCTGCCTATCTCTGCTCAGTTGGTAGGGAGGAGAGCTACATCATTCCTCTTTGCCCACACTATATCCTATAGGAATGCAGGAGAGAGATAAGTGCAGAAGAATAGAATCTCCCTGCTGATCCTTGTTGCCTTTAAACACCACTCAGTTGCACAGAAATTTCCTGTGGAAGTTGCAAGTGTTTTATGTTGCTATAAAAGGTGGGGTTTTTTAAGGAAGCTAAAAACAGATAGATGAGGTGGGGTGGATGGTAAAAAATACCTTTCTGCAAAATATCAGTATATGTTAAGACATTTCTGTTGCTTGCATAAAGTCTGGAAAGAAGCATGAATCACAGCAATCCGTTTAGGATATAGATATACAACAACCTATTGCATCTTTTTTGTCCTCTTATTGTCCTTGCTAACTCCTTGTCCTTTCAGTTCATTAAATCAGCGAATACATTAGTCATTTGCACCAGAAATTACTCACTTTTGGCCACTTTTTCTCTCAGGAAGGCTCCACTGAGTCCTTTGGAAACTTGACTCCCTGTTTCTCCTTCCAGGTGTGTCTCCAGGTTCCTCGTCCCACCTTTGTGAGCACCTTGTGTCATGGTAGATCCCTTGGGCTCAGCGAGCTGGACTCTGCTCCCTGCAGAGCCACCGGCGCTGTCGGCAGAGCTGCTCCTCTGGTCCTGCTGGTGAGCAAACTTTACCTGTGGGGCTGCCAACTCCAGGAGGAGGGAGCTGCTCTGGCTTAGGGGTGTTGCCACCAGTCAGGTCCGGTTCACAGACCTGGTTCAGTTGTAAAGCAAAATTCTGTATGACTGTGCATGTATTTCCAGCTTTCAGGAGAAAAGGAGACTCTGTATTCTGGAGAGGCAAATATTTAATGTTTGTGTCTTGTGTGAAGGAACTGCAGTGTTGCTGCCCCCCCTGTTATGACTTCAGTTCCCTCAAAATCTTGAGATTAATCTAAAAAATAAGACTTTTTAAAAATCTAGCTATACATTTTTTGTCACTGTTTTGTTTCCTAAGCCCTGTTTGGGAGAGAGATTGGGGATATTAACACTGTGCTGTCTCAGGGATAAATGGTGAGTTTTTTACTAGGTTTAGAAACTCCCACATATACATTTGCCTGCCTGTCCTCTGAGGCCAGTTTCCATCAGTTTTATTCCCATTTCCTAAGTCAGCTGTATCCCTGTGTACCTTCTATCCTCCAGACCTGCAAATGCATTTCCAGCAGGAGTCTCATTTTCCTCAGTCTCACAAGACCAGGTGCACAGTGCCTCGTGCCTTTAGGTTTTTCTCAGGCTGAGTGCTTAGAACAATTGGTCTGGGTAAAATTTTTCATTCAGAATTGTTTGGGTTTTTTTGTGTTATGAAAACATCAACCTAAAGGAGATGTTTGCTCGCAAACCAAGGCTAATTCTAATATTTTAGTTTTGTTGTGCTGGTACATGTAACAATTGCTATCATAAAGCTCTGTGTGATTTAAACATGCATAATTTTAGGCAAATGCTCTAGTATTTTGCTGTCTTAGGGATATAGTAAATAAAATAATTTCAGGATGACAAAGGCCAGGGAAGAGGCTCCCATTGGTATTGAATGGATGTCAAATCAAATTTCTGCTGTATTAGCAAAGCTTTATCTGAAAAAAGTTTGCTTCTTATTCTATCTTTAGAAGTATTACAAGGTTATAAATAAATAGTGTGTATCTTTCTAAAATGTGTGCAGTCTTTGGTTTTGAAGTTGTCCATGTTTCTTCATATGGATAATTAAATTGCTTTTGGCTGACTTATCTACTTGAGGAGGGCGATCACAATGTATACCCTTTCTTTTTGCACACCCAGGCACATTATCTGGAAGATGTGAGAATCCACTGGCTATATTTTACGGTTTTTGTAAGGTTACAAAACATGAAATAAGGCCTTGGAAATGGCTCTACCAAAGACGTAAGTTCAATTTTATTGTTTGATATCAGGTGATTGTTAAGGGTCTTACAGTAGCTACATTTTTATGTCTCCACTGTAAATATTTGACCAACAACTCAGCCTGTAAGTGGCTCTCCTATAAAGTTTAGTATAACAAGCATTTCTCATGATCATGGGTGTTACTGTCAGTAACATTCTGATTTGCCGAAGTTTATTTCTGTTTAATTAAAATAAGAGTTTGTTTTGATCTTGCTTTAAAAAATTATTTAGTGTATAAACTTTACAGTAGCTTTACAAAGTCTCTCATTGTATCTTTCTCTAAGAATTTTTGTTTGGTTTGTGATGTTCTCTGTTTTTCCTGCTTCCCAAACCTGTGTATCAGTAGGTTTCATTCTCACAGACTCAACATGGTTGCAGTGCATTGGTCCAGGCACGGCACAAGCAGAGACTTTGCCACAGGCAAATGTGGCACGTTTTCCAAAGGTATTACTGGGTTTTGTTGATCAAAATACTCTCCTGGTAACAGCCCATCTAGAATGTTTGACAACATGAATTAATTCTTGAAAGAGACTTTCTAAAGCAGCGAGTGGAGTCAGGAACACAGTTCGAACTGGGAAATGGAGAACAAATCCCTGACCTTCATTGACAAAGCTAATGCTCATCTCTTTAATGTATATTAAATTGTAAAAAATCACTTGGCTTCAAGTAGAATTTGCTCTCCTGAAGCCATGAGCTTGCTTTGAAAATCCACTTCTCCCTCTGACCTTGATTATCTTTCTCAACAATGCAGTGGTTTAAAACAAGACTTGTGTTCTTATGGAAGTATATACATGTCTGTGTGTATGAGTAAATGCACTGTAACTTTACAGCCTCAATAATATGGAAGAATTAACCTGGAATAAAAATACTTCAAAAAACAATCACGGGGGAATTAAAATTATTAGACAAACTTTCAAATTCACAACAGAGGTCAGTGTAGCCCTTTGGATTTCTTTCAACTGTGTTTTGTATAACTTTGTTTTGCTTCTCACAGAGACCTAATCTTGCAAGGCTAGAACTTGTATGCAGAGCAGCTGGAATTAGTTAAATATTGGAACTACTGCTGGTTTGGTTGCATCCTCCAACATGACCAATCCTCAGTAAGTAGCATCTGATATAATTATAATTGATTTTGAATGAAAGGGAACAGGTTGCTGCCTGTAGGAGAACGATGTTGTGACATCAAAAAGGTTCTGAAGTTGTCTAAAGAGTGTGAATTAGCAGAAAAAACATGAATGCTGTAAGCATGTCTGATGTATTACTAACAGCAGTGGCTGAAAACTGGTATGTTATATTATTTTCAGGTCTGTTTGTCCTTTTTTTTTTCCCTGCCACCAAACCTGTCCCAAGCCTGTCTGCCAGCACTAGTCTGTTTTTTTTGGTTTTGTTTTCAGTCAAATCAGATTATGTCTGTGATTTAGTCTGTCTAAGAATACAGAAGCTAAGTACTGTTGGGAGAGGGAAGGCAGCACCAACCCCTCTCCTTTTTCCTTTATAATACTGGAAATGGGATCATTGTGTGCTCTTTCATGTAAAACTGAACCCGCTTGGTCCTATAAAGGTAAATGTCCACAGGATGGCACTAAAGGTGAAAATCAAAGAAAATTCTTGCTAAAATTAGTTCCTACCTCTGGGTTTCTGATTTCAGATTGTTTACAGAAGAATACAGTTCGTTTGGAAATCAAAGAATCTCATTACTTTCCGTTATTAGTTACACATGAATAAAATAAAGGCCTTTAGGTTGTTCAAATAGTACTTCCTTTTACCTCTGCTCACTGCCATAGTATGACACAGCTACAACCTTTCCCTGCCAAATACTGGAGATATAACAGCATTTTCTGGTTTTTTTTTAAGTTACTTTCTTATGTAATGCTGGCAGCAGCTAGCTCCATTTAATTTAGGAATAATGTCCTCCATCTGAAAGGGTTAGTCTAATGTGAGGCTCTGACCAATAGAAACCTTCACACAGAATTTTGGTTCCCTCACTCACCTCCATAGATTATATCCTTATACAAAATATAACAGTTAAGTACTCTTCTAAACTCATTACTTCTGGGGAAAAAAAAAGGAACTGTTAATCAGGTTGCTTAAATTGCTGGAAGATTTTAATAAGCTTCTTTAAAACAAAATCACCAGTGCAATTTTTGCAGTCAAATATCAGAGTGAAGTTGGGTGCTAAGAACTTTTTACCTATATCCCCGTGGAAAAGGAGTATCTTCTCACCTGGTGTTGCAAACCTTTGACAGTAGCCTGAGATTTTTTCAGAAGTTTAACAGGCCCCCCTGGAAGAAAGCTGAAGGAGTTTGTGCTTGCACCTGCTGTGGATCAAACAGAGCTAGAACTTTGGCTGGTGCTGCAGAGGATCACCCTGGCCATGCAGACTGTCCTACAGTGGAGTCATCCCTCACATGCACTCGATAATACACTCCCTAAGTTTCTAGAGCAGGAGTATCTTGTTATAAATGTGAAAGACATGCACATTGTCACACTGGTTTTAACTGCATGGAGATTCCATTAGTGTTAGTGGGCTGGTGTAAGAATACACCATCAGATTAAGTAGCTGTGCATAAGGACAGTTTAGGTAATCTTTATGGAGGAGTCCATAATTCTTCTGAATCATTATTCTCCTTTCAGAACTATTTTGTGATACCACAATGATCTTTTCTAGTTAAATGGAACAAAGCTGCCATCCATCAGAACTATTTGAATCAATATTCAGATCCACAGTGGAAGAGGGGTCAAACTGCACCATTAATTAACAGTTGATTTGTATACAATGATTAATAAGCTTAGCTATTTGTTGCTCACTGATGGAACTTACAAAGCAGTGAGCTTTTAGTTGGCACAGTTTCACGTCTTCTTTCTGTTTTGCATGAATATTTTGCTTTTGGGTTCATGCATTTTTTCTGTGTTTGTTTGTTTATAGCACATCCATTTATATTTAGTGCCTTTGAAGCAGATTCAGCAGGGTGAAATGCTGTTCTCCTTTGTGAGGTTTCTGTTGATCACAGTGAGATCTACGAAAGACAAGTTTGGAGAGATTTGGTCTCCTCAATGACAACACCTCCCTCAATGACCTTGCAGAGGCCTTTTAAGTTGCTGGCTCTTTATGATTCCATGAAGTTCTTGTCTCTAACTTACTTTTTGCTTGTTTGCTTATTTATATATTTATATCTTTTATGTGTGTATGTGTGTTTATTATGTTTTCAGGCCTACAATTGAAGGTGGTGTTTCAGAAGTTGAGATAATTTCACAACAAGTAGAAGAAGAGACCAAAAGCATTGCTCCTGTACAGCTTGTTAACTTTGCTTATCGAGATCTGCCTTTAGCTGCACTTGATCTGTCTGTGGCTGGGTCCCAGCTTTTGTCAAATTTGGATGAGGAGTACCAAAGAGAGGGGTAAGTACAAAGGACAGAATTTTGGTTTATGGTTTTAGATTATAGTGATTTCAGGACCTGTAAAATAGGACACCTTAAGCTGGAGAAGTGCAGCCAGTTGTCCTCAAACTCTTTTTAAAACCATTGTCACAGAATGGAAGTGACCTTTTCTAATACAGCTAAACTGGGCTGGTTTGGGGCTCTTTATAATTCTGCTGTTTGACCACAGTTTGGAAGCCTTGTCCCAGGAAAAACTGGACAAAAGATCTATAGCCCATCAGAAAAGCAGAATGGCCTGGTGAAAGTTCTTTGCAAAGGAGTTTCAGGAGGGTTTCAGGATGACAGAGAGTTGGCTGCTGAGATTCTTGTATGTAGTTGTGCATCTCCTGACAGAGGTAATGGCACAGTACTGCTGATTCCTGGACAGATAGTGTACTTTTCACCCAGTAATTTGAATTGTGTAGTTTGATCATGTGTGAATGTTGCCTTTGATAATGTATATAGTACATACATACTGCTCCTGTTTTCATAGAACAATGATTCCAGTTTTATTGAAATAAAAGATCTTAACCAGTTCATAGCATTTGCTCAAATATAACCCAGTGTCAGATTATGTAGCATTGTTGTCCTACAGGACATTAGAAGTCATCCTTATGCCTGGTTCAGGCTTGAAGTGGCTGTAGGTGGACTGCTGTACTAAATCCTTTGTGAAAGATTTGGGTCAACTGGAGAGAATCCAGAGGAAGGCAGTGAGAATGATTAGAGGCTCAGAAAACCTGCCATGGAGTACTGATTGAAATAACATGAAGAAGAGACTTTGAGGGGAGCTTCTAAGAGACTTCAGTGAGGAAGGGAACAGCCTGTTATTGATCTCTGTGGTGTTTGGGACAAGAAGTAAGAAGCTGGTATTGCAGCAGAGAATAGTGAGGGCAGGGAAGGGCTGGGGTAAATGGCTGGTGTGTGGGGGAAGGAGGGGAACTGAGGTACTGTAGTCAGGAAGGTGTATTTGTCAGGAATGATAACACTATAGTTTAACATCCTCCCTTGGGACAGAGGTGAGGTGAGCACAGGTGCCCAGCCCTGCTGGTTCTGTGATTGCTGTTCCACCGTGTGTCACACTGAACATGTCTGCTCCACTGCCAGTGGGATCCATACAAAAGCACTTCCCAGTAAGCCATGTAGAATACTTGCTGATGAAGACATTAAAGGACTTTATATAAGCCTCCATTTATTAACAACTCAATGAGTTTTAACCTGTGCTCTGTAATCAACAGAGACCTGCTTGATCTCAGCCCAGCAGGTATTCTGTGTGGAAGTCAGGAAGCAATGTGTGGGGAAGGCTCTTGCTTTTAATTTCTTTCCAAATTGGACTTTATGAGACATCTCCAGAAAGTTGTTACTCCAAACAAGGGGAAATACATTTTGAGTAGGTTATATAAGCACGGTACAACTGTAACATAAAATACCCTGCATAGCAAAAGAGGCACTTGAAAATTAATTTGAGTATGCAGGTGTAACCCTCAGGCTATTTTGGTGCTGAGTCAATACCAGTTTAGTTCAAGTATGCATTTTTATAGATTTTTATGATCTGCAACTCAATTTTTCACTATGCCAAAGGGCACAGATCTCTCATTGTAACCATTTGAGCAGCTTTGCAGTCTTAAGCATGGAAATAGGCCTGTCATTCTTTTCCTCAGCAGAGATCCCTTCCTTCACACAGACTTCTTTTGTGGCTTTGTCAGGCTGCATGGAAGTAAGCAGAGGCCATCCAGACCTCCCAGCTGTAGATTGCATTCTCTGAAGAAAATTCAGAGCTTTAGTTTGTACATCTCAGTGCATTTTGGCTGAGTCCTGGGACTGCATCTCCCGTGTGGGGGTGGTGGCCTCTTCCTTTCAGAAGCTCTCCTGACAACTGATGCCCTGAGAAATTTAGGAGCAGAGCTGAGCTCCAGAAGCCCAGCAGCAGACTTGAAATACTGTCCCCGTGCCACCTTCTGGCTTGGTGGGGAATATGTCTGGTTTTATGAATGGGGTGTGATTTCTTTCCCATGGCCTTGTTAGATGTGACTGGCTTCAACCTGACTGAGAAGGAGATGGGGAGGGTCAGATCAGTGGACAGTCACCAGTAAGGTTCCATTTCCATGCATGGAGCAGCAAGAGGGACATCAGACTAGAGAAGAATGAGAGGGCAAGAAAGGAGTCTTCTGATTTAATGGTGCATCCTAAGGTTTTCCTCTAATCTTCCTTCTTTAAGGCCAGAAGGTGTTCAGGGTCCAAGCACAAATTTAACCTGGTTGCTAACGAGGGGAGCTTCTTGTTTCATCTGAGAGAATGTTTCTCTTAATAAAGCCAGTATTAATGGGCAATCAGGAATAGGTGGATAGCTCAGGAATAGCTCAGCCCTCTTTGTGTGCTTGGAAACTCTCAGATGGCATCAGATTAGCTACCCCCCCACAAGAAATGAAAAAACGAAAGGAAAAATTAAAAAAAAGAAAATTGTGGTCTGTCTTTAACTTGTCAGACAGACAGTGTGTAAGCTGACATTCCTATGGCTTTAATACTGGAATAAAGATCTTATTTTGTGTAGTTTGATGGATCTTTCCTTTTTTACATCAAATTCTCAGGGCAGTCAGTTCCTGTCTGTTGAAGGAATTTTGTGGACAGTTTGAGCTGTTTTGTCAGAAGTTTGGATGACAGTACTGATTCCTGTGCTAAGCAAAAAAGAAAGCACTGCAGATTAGATGGTGCATTAAGCCTGGCCCTGAAATACACCTGGAAGTGGTGAAAGGGTAATCAGGCAAGAAAAACCTTTCTGCACTCCCAGAAACCCTCAAACACATCACAAAATGTGTTGTCTTCTAATGTGGGCTGAGCATCTATTCTTCTCCCTCTGTAGACTTCTCACTTAGGGAAAGTACAAAGATTTGCATGATGGAAGTTGGTTAAGTTGGACAGAATCTGCATTACAAATACTCATTACAGGTCACTTGGGTGGGCTGGCATTGCCATTGCCTTGCACTGATGAGGAATAAGGTGTGTGAGGCTTCCCTGAGTAGGATAGGAGGGATTCCTGCATCTGCCTTGCTTCCTAGACTGATGTGCCTTTACTCTTCAGAAAAAGGAGGTTTTCTGGAAAATGCCAACAGTATGTGACTAAAACATTTGGAGTTTTATGTGACTGTAGCAGTCTCTTTATAAAGGTAATCTCTTCCTTACTGTGGGAAGAAGCTACTATATCTTCTTACTGTTGGAAGAAACAAGAACCAATATGAGTGTGATGTTCCTCAGTTAATGGCCCCACTGATCTGCCCTGCAGTTCCCTGGTTGGACTCATCCTTAGAGATCACTGCTGTGCACTGCTCAGACATTGCAGAGATGGCTGAGACACACACATGAGAATTGAACTCATCCTGAAAATGTGCCTTGAATGCCAAGGAGCACACCTGGTGCACACCTCTAACATATCTGTAGCAAATTGGGTGATGCTCAGGTACAAAAGCACAACTTGCAGCAGCAGAGTTGCCAGTTTGCTTTGTGTCTGTGAATGTACTGGGGAGGTTATGTCTGCACTGGACTCAGTTTGCATGAAAAGAGTATGCAAACATTTCTTTAAGGAGACTAATCACCCAGACTTTTAAATGTTAACATGAGCTTTAAGTGCCACTCTTGATTTCTTTTTTTCCAGTCAAGTATTCTGTTTTCCAAAAACTATTTTCTCTCTTCTGCTTTTTGCATCAATGACCAATAAAAGTGCTGGAGAATAACCGGAAAATTGACAACCTGCAGAAAATGGGACATGTGCAGGGATAGGAAAACCTTCTCCTTCCTGTATTTTCCTGAAGTTCCAGTTAGGAGGTATCTATCACAATCATTTAGGAAGGAATTCACAGATAGTTGCACAACAGGCTGCATTTTAATGTTGTGTGACCATACAGATAGACAGTGAGCCTCTCTTGATGAAGATCTGTGTTTCCTGGGGGTTGTGAATCGAGGGGGGAGAGATATACACCAACTTTAAATTATTTGTTCTATTTGCTTTAAATTGCAGCTCTTGAGTTTTTTATATATTAAAGAAGTTTGAAACATGATGGTGCTTTCAAAATACTGTGTTTTACATAAAAAGAGGTAAAGTTTGGGATTTCACGCAGTTAATGTGACTCATTTGACATTAGCTGTAAACAGTTGGAATTTAATAATCATCTGTTCATAGCCTCAGATTTGTTTGGTATCAGCTAGAAAGTGCATTAAACAGTAGGAATATCTGAAAAAAAGAAAACTGCAGGGAGAGAGAGAGAAAGGAAGGGAAACCAAAACTGAACGGAGATTTACAGAGGTGCAGAATTAACACAGGGAAGAGTCGTGAGCTCTTCTTTTTAAATTGGTTGCAAGACTTTGCTGGTGAATAAATTCACTCATCCTGGGAGAAAAAGATGTCTGTCCCTTCACTGTCTTCTGTAATTGCACCGAGTAGATGCACTTATTTTGGTCTTTGTATTTATCTTTCAGATATTTGATCTTGTTGCTTTAACTAAAAGAACTTGATCGAGTTCTTACATTTCTCTTGCTTTCTGCTTTTCTGGTCTTTATCTGGCAGCATAATAAGAAATAGTCCCTTTTCTCAAAAGTTCTGTGCACCTCGTGCAGATCCTGGAATGCATGATGTTGATACATGGTGAATAATGAGGTTTAAGCTCAAGATAAATTGCAAAGGTTTTGGAGGGCAGAAGTATTTCACATAGCGAGCGAGCTCCTTGTATTTACAAAAGTGACTTGTAATTTATTTTTAGCTGCCAGTCATAGTCTGAATCCAGAAAGATGGTGCAAAATCCTAACATCAGGATACAGTGAAATGAGACTGTAGTGCTGATTTGTTCTTTGGGCAGTACTATATCACTGCTGCTCTCAGTGCTGTGGTCCAAAACTGAGACCTGCACTGCAGCAGAAAATGAGCATTCAGCACCACAGAACCTGTGAGGTGCCCAGCCCTTCACTAGAGACTACATGAAATTTTGGGCTATGTT